AAAGATGTGATGGATTACAGTGAAGAAAACTTTGCCATTGTTTTTGCGGCCATGGGTGTAAGCATTTTATCTTCGTATTTTGTGGCATGGTTTAAATCACTCAGTTAATTTATTTTTAATTAATCTTTTTTTAATTATTAAAGTTCTCTTTGGTTTGGTTTAATTAATTAAACCATGCTAGGAATTTTATAGGTGCCCCAGGTCATTTTTTAAAAGAGAAAAAAGTGCATGATTCAAACAGCATTGAGGACTAGTAATGTTCTATTACTATTTATACAGATTTTTCTGTTAGGGTTTGTGGTGCAGGGGATTCTTTGTCATTTGAATATGTTGATAAAAATATATAGTGGTACCACAATGTTCCACTTGCACACTGTGTCTTTGGAATAATATATATTTTCACTTTGCTTTTCCCATAATGCCATGAGTGTTGTGCATGTGAAATTTTTAATCATCCTAGCTAAATGCTAGGATGATTAAAAACATTTCAGACAATGTACTTTTAAATTATGCTAACGTAAACTTGGTTTAAAAAAAATAACTATGTGGATTTTTCACGCAAAACTTAGTACATATTGATGATGTTGAAATGTTGTTACTTCAGGTGAATATGGAAACCGCAAGGTTCTTCAAATCGGACTTTGAAGAGAATGGCTCTATGGACAACGTGTGTCTCTTCCTGAACTTGGCTAATGATCCCACGTATGTCTCTCCTTGCTTTATGTTGTCTGTTTAGGAAAGTTTGAGGGAGATTAATATTTATTGGTGTGGTCTGATTAGTATGCAGCATAAGATGTCATTGATAAGAATAAGACAAGCAAATCTCTTTTTTAGCCCACTCAATGTTATACCTACTGTATCTGAAAACTATAGCAGATTCATTCAACATCAGGTATAAAACAAAACTCATTATTAATGGATCAGCAAATTGGGCCAAACAATGTCTAGGTCATAGTGTAGCTGCTGAATTCATGACAGACATTGTTTTATTTTCTCATTTAAGACAGTTTTGGATAATTTTACTATACAATCCTAAATGTATATGGTGTATCTAAAAATATTTAGGTGCAGAGAATTAAAATGTCATAACAGGAGAAAGAGGATTGTTGCAGTTCATGTGTTTTTGGGGTTTTGATTAATCGCTTGGTCTGGCGTCCTTATAGAATTGAGCGCATCATCACTCCACGGTTGGCTCTGACCACAGCCGAATTCCTGGCCTACCAATGTGAGAAACACGTGCTGGTCATCCTGACGGACATGAGCTCCTACGCTGAAGCTCTGAGAGAGGTATTTCGTCTGACCTGCCGTTTTTTTACATTTTAGCACCTATGCCAAAGTAATACATAACAGAGGCCTTCCATCTCATTGTAAAATTTAGGAAAATGCGAAGATGCCTGTTAAATGATGGAGGTGGTAAGCCGGGTTCTCGGGACTGTTTTTTTTAGAAATCCATCGATCTGATACTGTTACACCTTTAGTTAGGGGAATTTGGAATCTTACTACAGCAGAGATCACCAGATCTGGTCCTGGAGAGCCGCAATCCAGCAGGTCACCATTAGGCCACCCCAGTTTCTAAAGACATGGAGCAGTTCTGCTGTGATCAGTGATCACCTGAACAATTTAGAGATAATTTATAATAATACTTCTTTACACTTATATAGCACTTTTCTGGAAACTCCACTCAAAGCGCAACAGGTATTGGGGATCCCCTCCACCACTACCAATGTGTAGCCCCACCTGGATGATGTGACGGCAGCCATAGTGCACCAGTACGCTCCCCTACACCAGCTCTCAGTGATGAATCCAGTTCATGGATGGGGATAATTAGGAGGCCAGCGTCCCGGCCAGGTCTCCCCCGGTAAAGGACAGGGGGAAATTTGGCCGGGACACTAGGGTAACACCCCCTACTCTTTTTGAGAAACACCCTGGGATTTCTAACGACCACAGAGAGTCAGGACTTCGGTTTAACATCTCATCCGAAGGACAGCGCCTTTTTACAGTATAGTGTCCCCATCACTTTACTGCAACGTTAGGTTCCAGCAGCAACCTTGGTTTTTCCCAGGAGGTCTCCCGTCCAGGTCCTGACCAGGCTCCCACCTCCTGAGCTTCAGTGGGCTGCCAGTTGTGAGTAGTGGCAGCCCACTGCTGGGTATTTAGGACTAAGTAATCTTCATCCCTGAAGGACCTCCGTTCTCTAAATTGAATACGTTTCTTGTTTGAGTCATCAAGAGCTCCCAGCATGGCTAGAGGTTTTGCTGTTGTCGTTCCCAGGTGTCTGCGGCCAGAGAGGAGGTGCCTGGCCGGCGAGGTTTCCCTGGATACATGTACACAGACTTGGCCACCATTTATGAGAGAGCTGGCCGAGTGGAAGGCAGGAATGGGTCCATCACGCAGATCCCCATTCTCACCATGCCCAATGACGGTAAGAGCTGGGCCATTTCAGCCGCGCAGAACCACCGTTTGATTCGGTTGTCCGGGGGCCGTGTGGACAGGAAGGACAACTGTAGTGGAAGTCGCAACTAAAACACCTTTTTAAAATGACACAATCTGATGAATAGAGCTGCATGTTAACTTGTGTGGCAGCAGTGTTACAAATTTTAAAGACGTAGATGGAGACCACTTTGAAAAACCCGTTATCTGCTACAAATGGTATTGCTGAACAAGTAGGAGACACTCTTCTCTTTGGATCACAATTTCCAGTCCCAGTGAGATGACCAGAGACATTGTGCTGTAGGAGTTGACACATTAAATCAGGGCCCTGACTACTTGCATTAAAGTAAGGCCCTTTTTAAAAAGTATCTAATGATTGTGCTCATAGGGCCCTCCTGTTTGTGGTTTCAAATGCAGCTTTTCTTTTTCAGATATTACTCATCCTATCCCTGACTTGACTGGCTACATCACAGAGGGTCAGATCTATGTAGACAGACAACTGCATAATAGGCAGGTGAGTGGATGTGGTCACAGTGATGTGCAGCTTGGAGATTCTGTTTCAAGGCACCTTCATTAAGTCCTTGTTCGAGTGTTTATGGCAATACAGCTGTGTTAATTTTAATATTGATAACTATATAGAGTTAATGACCTGCATTCACTTCTTTGATTTGTTAGGTCAGGGCTTGGTGTCTAATTTTTGACACCATGGAATAAAAGTTTATGATGTTATCCCCTCCCATTTTTTCATACCCAATATTGTTTGAGATAAAGGTCAAAATGAAGGATCTTTACCTTTCATTCTACCAGAACTGTGATCTGGTATATTTTTAGTGTCTCCATGATAATATTCTAGAAATGGGTTTTGTTTGGCAGACGTGTAACTTGAAAGCTAAACTCGAGCTTCATTTTTCTCTTCCTCGGGTGTTTTATGACTTAATTAAAACCCAGACGTTATTTTAAAAAAGAAGACAAATGGAAGAGTGAAACAAAAAGCCAAATCTGATCGATTTATTCACAGGAAAACCCTGAAGTTCAAGAATGAAATATGGCCAAGGAGGCTACAAAGTCCTACCTTTTTGAACCACCTGTACCTTATTGAAATGAGGTTAAGCAGCCAAAATGCCTCCATATTCTTCTGAGATTTCACAGATTTTCCACTATTGTTTGGTAAAACAAATCTGGAAGAAAGGAATACCATTCCCGCTACATAATGAATGCATTTATTAAACCTGCCCTTGCTGTTCACCCTGTGATTATCAAAAGCCGTCATTCCATATCGTTCAGTTGAAGTGGTCTGACAGAATGAGACAGTGAGAACAGACGAGCAGCTGATACTCTCGTCTCCCTGCAGATCTACCCCCCGATCAACGTACTGCCCTCCCTGTCCCGACTGATGAAATCCGCCATCGGAGAGGGAATGACTCGGAAGGACCACGCGGATGTGTCCAATCAGCTGGTCAGTACTGAGTGGTCTAATCTCCAGATGCTGCGTACATGTCCATCACCTGATTTCATACCTTGTGACCCCAACCAGCAAAGTTTCATGTGCGAACACACAAAGGTTCTCCTAAATGGCTTGCTGGCTTGGGAAAAAAAAGCTTCACAATCAGAAAAGTCATTTCAATTCACTTAAGTGCTACTGACTTTTTTTTTATTGGCTTTTATTGAGTCATAACTCTCACACAGGATGGTTTTCAAAGCTTTCAGATGGCTTGAACAGCTATCAAGACAGTAGATTTGGGACAAGGGAATTTCTTTTGATGCTGTTGTCAGTGTGCCAGTTTTCAGGCTTCTCTTTGTATAGGATTTCGTTTCATTTTTTTAGGTCAAGGCTTTGTGTCTGATTCATAGCACCAGGGGGAAAAAGCACAAAAAGGCTTTAGAAAGTAGAATCCCTTTTTCCTATACCTGTAAGTGCTGAAAGAACTATTCATGACTGGGGATTCCAATGCTAGTTTAAAGCCCACTCTCTTCCCTGCAGTATGCTTGCTACGCCATAGGCAAAGATGTCCAGGCTATGAGGGCGGTAGTGGGTGAGGAGGCTCTGACCGCAGATGACTTGCTGTATCTGGAGTTCCTGCAGAAGTTTGAAAAGAACTTTATTTCTCAGGGTAAGAATGCTGACTTCTGATCGTGTCTGATGATACACTACTTTCAGTGACACAAATTGCCCTTTAATACAATTTATTGTATTGCACACATCTGTTTGTGTAGTCTGTGAAAGCGCAGTGTGACAGCTTGCCATGAATGGCGCTATAAGCAATAAAATTGACTTGAATTCTGAGACGTTTTGGCCCATGTGCAGAAGGCTCCTCAATTCCTAAAATATCCTCATTATCTTTGACAATGCTGCGGGCGCCACCTTGTGGCCATTTGTAATAGCGCCCCACCACCCAAGCTGCTGTCTGAATGTCTTCCAATGCCTCGTGTCTGCAGGTGCCTATGAGAACCGCAGTGTTTATGAAACCCTGGACATTGGCTGGCAGCTGATGCGAATCTTCCCCAAGGAGATGCTGAAGAGAATCCCGCAGAGCACTCTGGCCGAGTTCTACCCCAGAGACTCCAAACACTAGCTCCGTTCGACTTCCCCTCGCAGATCAATCTCCTGCCGTGTCCTCCCCTCTTTCTGTTTGTGCTGTTGTCTGTTGCTCGTTATTTAAGCCAGATGAACATATTGTGGAAGCTTCAGTGTTGCTGTATAATTACACCTTACAGAATTTAAAATATCTACAACCCTTTTGGAAGTCGGGGCTTGTGAGTTAAATGATTGGGAAGTATAGCCATTTCCTGTAGAATAAAATAATTAGGTACTGGCGCAACAAAGGCAAATGACTTCATCATACTGCTATTGGACACCTTTCTGTATCCATGATTGCAGTGCCACTACAATGACCGGTCTTTCACTTTATCTGGTACAAAGAGATTTGGTACAATATGGACATACAGTAATGGAATTGGAAAATCTTCTAGGGATATCAACAAAGCCACGTATAGTGCCAAACAATGATATTAAAGTAAGCCATCACATATCTTGTTTAGGTAATGTGCATCTTAGTCATTTAAAAATGCCAAAAAAAAAAGTTAGACATGCTAGTGCTAAATTCTCTCTAAAATTACAAATCTGAGTGGATGTTATTGGGAGCACTCAAAGGGTAGTGCCATTTGTAGTTTTCCACTTTGCTTTACAGCTCAATTAGTTATTTTTCAGGTGGAGCTTGTCTGCGTTTTTTGGTTATCTTTTGTGTCTTTCTGGGAAAAGATCCAATTATTTTGTGTCCAATACACTACAGTCTGAATTGCTACTGTACCATTCCGCACAGTCAATTTCTGGATATGTTTTTGTGGTTTCAGCTGAGGAGGTGTTTCTGAATGGACAATCAGAACTTTCTGAATGCAGTGCACTGTGGGACATTTATGAAAGCCTTAGATATTTCAGAATCCTTTTCAGTAAGTAATTATACAAGAGTTCACCAGGACTGTAATTCAGTGAAGTGTACTTTTTCAGCAAATCCATTTTTCTGAATGAAATATTGTCCTAAACTAAAATTCAACTGTTTTGAGAAATATTACTCTGGGCTTGAAATTTACATCTCAAGATAACTTAAAACCAAGAAGTCTTAGGTGGACAGCTAGCAACAAGCCGAATGTTCTCCCCTGTGTGAATCTTGTGTTGTTAGTAAAAATTGGTTGAGGTAATTCAAGAAATGATCAGTTTTGTAAAGAACATTTTTAGCATTATAATATTGCCGCTTCTGTTACTTAACCCCAACATGACGGCATGTTCTCATTACTTCTGACCTCCTGCCCAAAAAACTGGATGCTGTTGAATGTGGAGTTCCATATTCATACACGGCATTGCAAAATGTTTAGTCTTACTGGTGTGGTACTAAACACAATTTTGATTTCTTTGTTTTTAGTATCATTGCAGCTACGTAAGTACAATATACAGTATATTATGCTGTAGTAGTTCAAGTAGGGAGCTGCATCAGCATGCATAGGCTACAAAGGAACAGGTAATGGGTTTATTCCATGCTGAAAAGAAAAGAGAAGGCTTCACAGTGAAAATGTTGTGTTTCCTTTCTTTTATTTTCTGCATGGAATAATACAATTACCTGTCCCTTTGGATATTTTACTGTATATTCACTGCATCTGCTTTATAATGATAATCTATTCAGATATACAAAGATGGATTAATCTACATTTAGTACTGTAAAATGGATAGTCCTCAGTACACTCACTGAAACCAATACTATTTTGCTAGTGATCTATAATTATTTTCTATGCATCAAAGAAATGTACTTTGAAGCCAGTACATTTATATATACACCGTAAGAGAAAGAATGGATATTTTAAACTTTGTTAATTTTAGACAAAGACATGCCTTTTATCATATCTGTTAACAGTTGACTGTGATCCCTGAATAACACACTCTGATAAAACTCTTCTGTGCTATACAAAAACGCAGACATGGCTTTTTTGTTGGAATTTTGATAAACTATTTTAGTTTATATAATATAAGTGTGTTGTATTTCAATTCATTGTTGCCATTGGTAAGTCTGAACATTGTACTAGCATTAGGTGCTGTTACACTATGTTTTATTTGGTCACCAGTGCATTCCATGAGACTTCCAGATATATATATATATGAACTTATATATTTATTTAATATTTGGCCTACTGTTGCAATAACGCATGTAATTCAATTTGTCTATAAAACTGTCATCTGTACTTGGAATAGATTTGGTGAATAAATATAGTTACTGTTAAAAAATGTTGTTTTTTCATTTTGTGTTCCCCAACATATCATAAGTATATATATAAATTAATTGTCTCACTTTTTACAAAGCTGGTAATACAAAAGAGCACAGTCAAGTGGTTTTGGCTTACATACATCAATCAGTTTAACTGCCACACAATGATTATCAGATTGGTTTTTATTAGCTGGAATATGCCATCCTCTATCACTTTGGTCCACGTGATAAAGAGTCGATAACTTTGCAATAATGTGTTCAACCTTGGAATACAGGTATTTTCACGGTTAGGTCTATGTGCGGCTGGAGTGAAAATCAGTCATGCACTGGACATGAACAAAATTAATTCCACATTGACAATATTGGAAATACAAGGTGTTAGTTTATGAATGAGATAGTATGAAAGTCTGATCAACCACAGTATAAAGGATAGCTAGCTGTTTTTTTAACCTTTTGTAGCTAATAAACATCCTACATATTACATTATTAAGGCACTTATTAGTCACAGATCACTTATTTGCCTGCACTGAATAACCTGTGCTTCAGTACGTTATTACAACAGTACTACGCGACTAACAGGTCATCTCTAGCGCAAAGTGGTCTTGTTGCTTCTTACCGTATTAACAAATGTTTCTGCTAAACCGGGACATTACTATAAGGGAACCTATTCTGATAGCATTCAAGTTTGGTTAGAACACAGTTGTCAGTCTGTAGCTGGAAGGTGGATAAATTAGAACTGATGACTGCCCAGACCTTTAATTTTCAGGTTTTACTTTAGTTTACCAATGAATATCTGGCGCGAATATAGCGGTCTTCAATAGAAACCGTTAAGGTTCGCAAAATACTTAGACATAGAGAAATTTTAAACACGAATTACGACACACTTTTCAAAGACAAAACTTTAGGCATGATCCATTTTCAATAGTTCTAGCCATCACACTATTTTCTCTATGAACAGCTGCTCTCGCCTTCATGCCCGGCTCTAGTTGTCAGCAGCAGCCTGGCTGTGTGAATGAAGCGGGTCACTTTGTGTCAACCAAAACGAAAAGTGTTCCCAGCGCATTTGTGAAAATCCTGACTGAATCTGATGGGGTTCTGAGTTGAACCGACGCTTAACAACTCTTGACCCTTTTAGGGCTTGTTTGGTGAGCTGTTTTTTTTTAAAGTTGCTCATTATTGGAATAAAAAAAAAAACAGGAATTAAATTAGTCCTAAAAAAAACTCCGTGCTGTCATGCTCACATGAGCCACGGGACACCGCGATAAGTTCGTTCCAGCGCGTTCGAAATTTTGCATGCGCTTTGAAAGACAAATTTCTTTTAAGACTGGAAGAGGCGCTTGGGTACCGACAGGCTGATTGAGCGAGTTAATTGATACTTGTGATTGTGAGAGTTTTTAAATAGCTGTTGATCAGGTTCAGTCGTACAGAGTTAGGGAAAGGTGTGCGTCTCGGCATGTCCGGAAACATTTGGACGGCTTTGTGTTGCTGTCAGAAAGGCCAGGACAAAGGTTTGGATTGTAAATTTAATTCGACATATATTTTATGTCCTGTTGTTTTGCTCTCATATTTGCTTATCCAAGGCCTTTTGCAAACCTCCCCAGATGGCCAACAGCAGGCGGGGGAAAAGAAAAACAACGAAACGCTACGAAAGGTCGAGAATACTGAAGTAAGGCTGAATCTTCCAATGTGTTCTGAATCAGAGATGTTTTTACCAATGCCAAGTCAAATATTGCGTGTGGCCATAAAGAGAGCTTTCCGAGTCAGAGAAGATTTCTCTCTCTTTTTTTTCTCCCTTTTCAGCGCGATCCGGTTGTTCATCAAGTTGCGCACGTGAATATTGGCTATCTGTCCGCGGTGTTTGATCAGAAGGAAAGCTTGTCTAGCCAGGAAGGTAGGCGTCCTGCAGTGGTGTGCCATTGCGTTACTGATTCTTTCACATTTAATACTTAACGCGTTCACAAAAGTGGTTTAATGTCGACGCCATCGACGATCAGTTTAAACAGGCATCGAGGGCTTCGGTTCCATATGCCACCGCCCCTCCGTTTGTTTAAAAAGTTATAAACCTTTTGAATTTTAACCTACATCAATAACGCAGGATTGTTCTCTCCGTTGACGCCTTTTTTTTTAGATTCGCGAGGGCGTCTGGAGTCCACCGAACACCAACAGGATGAAGTGGCCGTGAGCGAGGCTGAAGAGCGAGGGGTGCTGGGTTTCCCGGGACAGGTAAAGGTGTTCTGGGGCTCCAGAATGAGTCCAGCTCCTTCACACGCTTTTTTTTCCTGTGAGTTTGCAGAATCCTAGAGCTAGCCAAAAGAGCAGTTTCTAGTGTGAAACAGGCATCCCACCCTGGGCAGAGATAACCTTGATCATCTTTTTCTTCTGAAGGATGTGTTCAAAGCTGGGATCTTCTGTACTGTGTAAAGGCAAATATGCGATTTCAAATTAAAGGCCATGCACTTTGTATGTGCAAAGTACATCACTCTTGATGTACTGCACTTGGTGTGTTTGAAGGTTTTACATGTAACACCAGTAACTCGTGGAAAAAACCCTGCTGACTGCAAAGCGTCACACCTTCATACAATACTACGCCTTTTCTGTGCCTGTGATCAGCTCTGTATGCTTTCGTTGTACAAATAAGGAATATTCAAATGGGAAATGCTGTGCGGAACAGACACCCCCCTGCTGTATCATTACAGATCTATTTTGATTAAACACTTCCAGTTAATCCTATTAGGTTAGTTAAGGGCGAACTATGTAAGAGGGAAAGCCAGGAGGCTTGTGGGTCCCCAGTTTTTGGAATCCCTGCTGTTCGTACAAGGAGGCACCTAAAGTTTGAACTAAAGCTGATGTAGTGAACATCTTCCCCCTTGAATACACTGCATACTGACCAGCTCAAAACCATCTTCATGTTTAACGGCTTTTTGATGTAGGAAAGGTTTGGCCGGACTTGACACCGGTAGGGTTTCAGATGATGTTGAGTGGAGCTGTTTGTCAGGTGGCTGAGGGGGAAGGCCCTGGGACGCTCAGCTGTAGATTGATACTTTATTGTCCACTGCTGTGGAAATTTGTCTTTGGCTTCTCCCACAGAAGTACAAAACATTCAAGCAAAATATTGGGGTCACATGAAATCACAACAACAGTATGTGATGTGTAAATAGTTGGATGGATAGATGGGGGGGGGGATACATTTTAATACCTTCATTGAGTAGTTTTATTGCAGAGGGGACAAAGGACTATGTGACATTCTGAAAGGTGTCTCTCTCCGCCCTCTCTTCCTCTGCAGAGCGGCACAGCTGGACCAGCAGTGCTCAGCTCAGAAGAAGACCGAGGCTACAGGCTGATCAAACAGCAGCTGGCAGTGGCAGAGAGGGAGAAACGCGAGCTGGAAAAACAGGTGCACCAGGCTAACCAGAGTGTCCGGGACCTCAAACACGAGGGTAATTTTTTTTTTTTATGATGAAGGGCTTCAGACCCACATTCTAGGACATAACCCTGGAATTAAATGAATCGTCGGCAAACGATCAGATATTAAACCCTCCCAAGTGCAGAATCTCCTGACACCACGAAAGGGACACTCCCCTGCCCTTTTGTTCTGGCTGTGCTATTAAACTGTCTAGAAGTCTAAAACTTTTAATCTTGAATGATTCTTGTTTAACCTAATGACTTGTTTACAGTTGCAGTTACAGTGCTTTCACTACATGCATGATGCAGACTAGAATAAATAAAATTCCTCAGGACTGTCTCTAGAATACACTTTCCTACAATACGTCCTTTGTCTCTTTTTCATCCCTAGCGCCCGTAAGGACACGTACCAGGTGGGGCCTGAAATTGTGACTGTACTGGAACTATGCAGTCAGTCAAAAGAGGGACCTGAATATAGATATGGTCATCCTGTTAGTCTAGATCATATCACTGAGTTTTTTTAAAACAATATTAACACCCCGCCCCCCTTCCTCCATCCATTCATCCCTTTACTAACTGCCTTATCCAGTTCGGGGGCCACAAGGGTGCCGGAGCCTATCCTGGCAAGCAGTGGGCGCAAGACGGGGTACACCTGGGCAGACACGCAGACACATACAGTTCTCAGAAGCCAATGAAAATACCAGCATGCCTTTGGACTGTAGGAACAAACCAGAGAACTGGAGGAAGCACACATAGACACGGGGAAAACAGAAGGGATCAGTTCCTGGGGCGCTCAGGCCCCAATGCTGTGAGGCAGCAATCTGAACCCCTGCACCACTGTGCTGCCCTAATGCCCAACTGCCCCTGCCACGGCACCTTTCCATGGAGACCTTCCATAGTGTCGTGTTTTTGAAGCTGCAGTCTGCTCTCTGGCTGTGTCACTCAAGCTTGCCATTCTCTCCTTTTAGTTGCTGTTTTACAGAAACGTCTCCAGCTGGTGGAGAACCCACCACACACCCTGTCGCCTCCCAGACCGCCCACCCCACCCCCTCTGCCCACTCCTCCTCCTCTTCTCCACCCCCTCAGGTGAGACAGCTTTGACTGGGTCATAAACCCAGAGCTTGGGGAAAACTCTCCTCCTGACAGGTGTCCTTTGGAACAGAATGTTACAGTCTCCAGGTAACATTCACACATCATTTCTGTCATTCACCACTTCTGTATAATGCAGGCTGCTGCTTGGTAAATTAAAACTATGAAGATTTAGAATTTGTCTGGACAACTGGATTGTGTCTGTCACAAAACATGTGTATACACAAAAGACCAATTTGCCCCATTTGGTTCATTTGCTTACTACTAGCTAATTGATCTGAAAATCTTATCCAGCTGTTTATTGGCATTTCCATGTGGCTGTTCCAAACTCTCACATCCCTTTATGTAAAGTGCCTCTTGGTTCCACTTATACAGAGTAATTTACCATAAAAGTTTAAACAGTGAGGACTGTCAGAAGTCAGAATTTCACATAAAGAGTGAAGTTTTGTTTTTCTAGACAGACTTGAAGTAACTTTTCTTTTTAAAAAAATGGTGAAGCTTGTCTGCTTCACTTGTGACTGTGGTGCTGAAATGCTCAATTCCTTAAGTACTTTTGTCTGTTGCAGATCCTTATTGTCAATCATCCAAAAAAAGAAGGACTCTAAAGAGCAAGACCCATCTTGCACACAGCAAGAAAACTACTCACCAGCCTCGCCTGAAAGAGCTACAAGTGTGTAAACAGCTGGATATCTCAGTGTCAAGATCTGTTTGATGAAATGTTATCACTTTGAAATCTTGTTGTAGACAAAAATGTGAAATGCTACTTTTAAAAAGGTAGATTTCATCTGCCATTTTGGCTGTGTACATTTTAGAACTTTTCCGATTCATAGATTTACTGATGTTTTATAAACAGTCACCTGAGTGACTACAGTACATCTTAGCTTTGTCCTGAATAGAGCCAGTGAACCCATTCTCTTCAAAGTAAAAAAACACGTATTCATATTAAAAGCATTAAAATCTGAAGTCCGAGTTTTACTATAAACCCAGATGATCTGGCTGTTCTCTTGTAGATGACGTCTCTACCAACCATCAATGCCCTGGCATGAACGAGGTCCTGGAAATGATCAGAAATGGGGTTTCCTTAAGACGTGTTATACAGGTACAAAAGGTAAGACCAAATCATGAATTATGTGAATATTTTTCACATTTGCGTTCATGCAGCTTCATAGTGGCACCTTTATAAAGCTCGCATGCTACTTTTATAAAAGGAAAATGCCCTTTAGAAGATCAGTAGGCAGTGCTGATCATACTGTATACAGACTCTGGGATGTATGCAGTACTCCTATCTACCGGTAGAGGCCTGTATTTTGTGTACTTTCTGAAATGCCAGTCTTAAAATATAGGTTATACCCATTTTTATTGAAAGTAGCTGATCCCAGCTTTTTAAATGCCATTGAGATCCAATCTCCCATCCCCATCCAAAAATCTACTGCCCAGGATTTTCCAAAGCTCTGATGCTGTATTGGTTGTGAGCCAGATAACTTTATCTTCTTAACCAAAAGATATTGACCTTATGATGTAGAGCAACGTGTCTTTCCTGCTCTGAATTTGTTTTAATCAAGTTGCATAAATGTAGAGCCCTGGGGCCTTAAAGATGTGCACCTGACCAAAACATCTGCATTTTTTCCCCTCCAGTAAAACTAGGGTTGCTTTGCTTTAGGAGATAGTAGCAGGAGAATATTGTGCGATTCAGTATTCATCCAGTTAACTGGCTACTTTTTTAAAATGCGATGAATTTACCAACTCAAATTTGCAAGAGCCGAGGAGAGGCATACTGAGCCCCAGCTGTTTTGTAACTGCCTGGTGCTCGGTTGGCGGATTGCCCAATGAGGACATTCTGCGCTAGATTTTCATTTGAAGCTAGTCTTGGGCATTGTTGGCAGGGATGCTAAAAAACCACTTCTGTGTTCATTTGGCTCTGTGCTTTTATATTGGCTTGATGTCTGCTTAAAGAAAATGAAAAGGGACTGGGAGCCATTTAACTTGTTGCCTGGGGCCTGCAATGACCTTACCTCTCTCTTTGTGCCATTTTTGAGGGGACTTTCAAAGACGTCTGCGATCAAGAGGAGCAACTGGAAGTCAGCAGCAGCTCTGCAGAGCCTGAACTTGAAACCATCCTTAAAAGGAGAAAAGAAAGTGTGGATCACTTTATCTCGGGTAAATTTGAGATTGATTTACTGTGATTTAAGAAGACCATGTTGGTGTTGCTATCCCAAAATTCAGTCCATGTGTTTAGGGTGTCAATTGTTCTTCATTCTTTTACTCTTTTTATTTTCATTGTGTTTCTAACTTGGTCTTGGTCAGCCTTTGAATTGCCTGAATTCCAGATTTTTCTTTTGCATGGCTGGAGCTCAATTCCCCTTCTCCTCCCCTCAGATTGCGGGCCCCCCAAGTGTCTTAGCGCTTGGTCACTAGCCGACTGAGACTGGGATTCCCCATGTGGCGCACAATGGGCAGGCTGTCACTGTCAGCAGCGGGTTTTAGTCAGCTAGGTCCCTTGGCAAAACAGCAGCTCCTATGACTTGTCAGATCTTGATCAGGGCTGTGCTGGGCTTCCTGTAAGGATGTGTGGCTGGTGTCATGGCAGGGGCGCATGAAGGACCTGTAGAAGCATGTCTGCAAACCCTCATTAATCTCCCCTTACGAAACGGTATTAGTTACTGTGGATTAAATTGAAGAAACTTAAGTGAGTGGATGTAAGATGCGTGAAAACTGTATTGTAACACAACCGTACCTCATGTTGTGATGTTATGGGTGCCATTGTCTGGATGATACTATGAGAGAGATGAGCTTATTGTTTAGTCTGCTAAAGATGCCTGTGTGTTAATGTAGCCTTATCTGACTTTGAGGCTCAAATTAAACCTGAATTTACACCCTCCTATCAACAGCTAAGACCAAACCTATGCATTTGATGGCATTTTCCTGTTTTCCTTTGCTAGCAGCTTTCGAGAGATTTTTTTGCCCAAAACCAATGGAAAGCCATCATCAGAAACTGGATTTGGTGTTACAGTATGCGACTGGAAAGTGTCAAATGATTTTTTAGAATCTAAATACGTTTTTAAAAAGGTTTGAAACCATTACTTCTTTAAACATCCTCTTTGTTTGAATGGAAGACCTGCAGTAGTGTTACTTTAGGGTATGTAAGAATGTAAGAGGTGAAATGCCAGAGAATGCTGTTCATTTGGAAGCTAGGAGCTAAGTGATCCAAGGATCTCATTCAGGTGTTTCTTGACAGAAGCCAGGGAATCAGAAACATGGCTGGATGTCCTTTTGCATGCACCCACAACTCCTTGCTTAAGGATATGCTTTCTATTCTTTTTGAAACACTTCATAGTTCTTTTATGCCCCTTGGTGTGTTTCAGTGTTAAAATTGGTGAGACTTTCTTTTGAACAGTCGGTCTTGCTGCAGTATTGCCGCTTTGAAAGTCACCGTCCTCATTAGCATACTGATTTATGGGCAGATGGCTCTTTTGAAGAGGATTCTGCAGAGGACACTGGTCAGCGCAGGCTGGACATGCCGGCCAATAGCTCCCAAGTCAGGAAGAATCCTGGAAAAGAGAACCCTGGCTACGTCTGCCAGGATCAGGCGGAGAGCCAGGAACATGGGAACTCGTGGAGGTAAGAACAGTGTTGAACATAAGGCTCACTATCCCAGCCTGTTACATGAGCTACAGATGTCTGGGATCATGCACTTAATTTCCCTTCAAAATGATATTGAATTTTTAGTTGCAAAATGTTGCAGGTATGAAATGCAAGAGGTGGGGCAGCAATATTGTCTACGTCTGCATGTAGCTTGTGATATGTTGTGGACTTAATCACTGATGGAGCTTTTGTTTATCTGTATAATTGGGGTAGTCACTATGTAAGAAGCATGCTTTTTGGCCTAGGCATTTAGAACAGACATTAATTCTCCAATTACCTCTAGACCAGTTCCTGTCATTTTTCATCCCAAAGAATACAAAACAGCTTTGTCCATCAGTGTAGCATCTACATGTTTAATTCATAGCAGCTATTTTGTTCCAACAGATCAGAAAGAAAAGTGTGAATTTGCCAGGCTAGTTTAATTGAGGGTTAATTTGGGGGCTAAATTTGCAATCCAGCAGACACGTCTGTTCTTGCTAAGAGTGGCTTTGGATCTTGAATGATCAAGTATTCCTCACTTCAGTTTAACATCTCAACCAAAGGATGGATGATTAATCTTTACAGATGAATCAAGAGTCTGCTTTTCAAACACTAGCACAGAATCTGCCAGTTACAGAAAGCGAGGTAACCTAGCTGCACTTTTTAAAGCAATAAGGATGATTTTTGTTCGAGCACAGAACCATGCAAATTTACTTGCATAGGATCAGCATTCACCCCTCCAGCTCCAAAAATAAGCCAGAGATTAAATGGAATATTAGCTGTTGGATCTTTTATTTTGGCAGAATATAGCCTTTTATAGAGTGATAATGGCAAAAAAGGTGCAGAGTTAGTGAATTTTCCCATTTCCAGCAGCCCATAGGTTGTGTTCTCCACTTCAGGGAGTGCTGCACTGCCTTGGCCATCACGGTAGCTTTATTTTTGTCAAATTCTACGGTGTCGCGAACAAGCAAAGAGAAAACTGAATGCACTGTTATTTATATGTTAGTTTAATTCCGCCAAGAGAATTTATGTGCCTATAGATGTCAGAGCCATATAATGGTAAAATAAATCCTGATGCCACTCTTTATCTCTGCATCCCCCTAGCGGTTTATAGCTGTAGCCGGTCTCCTACAGCTGTGCTTCAAAGCAGTGTTAGATACTTTGTTCTGAGAACTGCATGACATCTGATATTCTCTGATGAATGTACTGTATTTCTGGTAGAACTATGGTTCATAACTAGGACCACAACCATACACAAGTTTGGTGTTTGAGTATCAGGTCTTTTATCCCTGTAAATTGGGGGGTCTTGCACGCCATTCCCGGACGTCCTTTTGTATTCTGGTTCTGTTCCAATGTGATTTAATTTGGAAAATTAGGTCGACATATAAGATTGTTCTCTGGACGTTTACAGTTGATCCTACAAGTTGTGCAGTTGGTTAATGTCATGGTTACCTATTCACCTTGGTGCCTAGTTAAAAGCATTATAGTTATGCAGGTAATTAAATATTTAGAGTAGCTACGTAACTGAGAATAAATAAATACAACTAGAACGAACGTGACTAAAACAAAAACCAGACGACAGTAGAATCTCCAGGGATTGTTTGAGATCCCTGGTGTAAGTGCTGGTGTTGATCTTTGCAGGGAATCGGTGGGAAAGCACCTTGAATCCAACAGTGAGGCTGGAGACGAGGGCAGCACCAGCAGCACCCTCCCTGTCACGTCTCCACTGGACGTTGGTCAAGTGGATGACCTCTCCTGTCCTCCTGATCCAGAAGGCCATGCTGAACCATGGTTCGAAGATGTGGCTTCAATGGACCCCAGTAATATGGACCCTGAGACAGAGGATCATGTCATCCTTGGAGCGATTCTTAGCGATTTGATGACTGCCTTGAAGAACCAGGATCTTTCAGACGATGGGACTGCTTTAAAGGATCAGGATGACACGGATACTGTAAGTAAGGCAAATCCCCATGCGTCTCCAGAACTTCCTGAGCAAAGCCAAGAACCAAAAGACATGAATGAGGAAGAATGGACTGATGTGAACCTGGAAGCGTTGCTTATATCCAGATCCAACCTTTGTTTTAGGAAAACAGTAGACCCTGATGAACACCTTGAATGCCATAATATCAAAAACAACCAGAACAATGGTCAACTAGATGTATTAAATGAAATCAGTGTGGAAGACGCCAAGCAAACCCTTCCAAAGGCTTTAGAAGATGGAGATGTGGTGTCTTTGAAGGAAGCTGATCTAGTAGACCTAGATAAACACATCACCCCTTTTCTCTTACAGAATGGTGCACTGATGGCTCCCCCAGCACGATCTAGTGGACAGCATGATCAAGGTTGTATCTCTTCTGACACTGCAAAGGTATTGAAAGGAGACTTCATAGAGGAGAGTGTAGATAGTCCACAAGAAGCAAGCCTGGTGCCCAGAGATCACCAGCCTCTTAAAGAAAGAGCCAGCTTTGTTGTAGGTCAAGGAGATGTGGGTTCTCCTCCGCAAACCACCCTTCCTGCTCATGTGAAAAACCAGAATGTGAAGAGACCATGTAACTCACCTCACTGTTATCTGCCAGGCACTGATCTCCTTCCAGCTCTTGAAGATGAGAGAGATTCCACTGACTCGGACATACCTGTGTTCTTTTGCTAAGGAGTAATCCTGTCAGAGTTTGTAATTGATCCATGTTGACCTATGTAGTGCATAAATTGGCCATTGTATTTTACTTTTGATTGCATTGTTCAGCATATTTTGTTTTATTAAATAGAGAGGGTTGGAAACCTTCAGTTTTTTTTAATCCAGTATTCAGTTTCATGGAAGTATTTTTTCCTTGGTGCATTTGTGGTTTTAATTGACAAGTTTGCTTTAAATAAAATATTAAATGAGGCATTATTTGAAATTGTTGATATTGTTGTGAAATGCATCAATTGTGTAACATAAGCACAGAGAACGTAGACCTAAAATGTATGGTAAATTAGTGAGCCTGTCAAATCAGTATGAACAGTGATCATGTACTAAATGTAGAACATGATGAAACATTTCTCTTCTCAATTTAAAGTACTT